CCTTGGTTCACAGATGCTTTTGTTTGCAAACAATCTGGTTGCCAAACAGATGTGTTTGGCAAAATTTTGTTTTTGTTTGCAAACTCGTATGACAAACACAATGGCAGCCATATTTCATTTCTCCACAATACAAATGTGGCCATCTTTTCCAAAATTGTAGAATAAATTAAGTTCATGAACTCGGGTATAACTGTACTAGAAAACTATCAAGCTTACATCAGTAGATACAAGTTTTCCAAAATTTCAGTATTCACTGAAAAATTCTATGTCCTACTTTTCCCATTGCTGAGACAGAATATCCAACACTCACAAGTTAAAGGAAGAAAGGTTTATTCAGCTCAGTTTGTAGAGATTTCAGCCCATAATCAGCTGGCTCTAAGGCAGGGTGGCATGGCAGACAGGCCTCATAGAGGAGAAATAGCTTACAGTGGGCAGAAGGTAGCACAGCAAGCAAGGAGCTTCTTTCTGTCCCTTACACTGTATCCAGGGTACTGGGATTGGTGCAAAAACATCAGTGGACCAATTTAATAATCACCCACCCTTAACCTAGCATTGTACCACGAACCAATCACCCACTAGATTCATCTACCTCTGAAAAAGCTACTTATGACCACATGAGGCTTTGAGGGGACATCGAAACACAATCCATAACAGGCCACTTCACCACTGGCAACAATTATCCTCTAACAAGTCTCTTATTCATTTTCAAGATGTCTGCCCAATACTCAAACACAGTATGAATACCTAGACAGTCATTCTTTCAAGTAAAAACAGCATCAGCTGGAAAAAAGTTCAATTCTCCCAACTCTATCACCCAACTCCTCTTGCCCAAAGTAACCACTGTCCTATATTCAGTAGGATCCACTATGCATACTTTTCACTTTGCCTCGTTGAAAAACAATGTAGTCCCAGGCATGGTGGCACACACCCCTAATCGTAGCACTCGGGAGGCTGGGGCTGGAGGGTGGTTGCAAGTTCAAGACCAGCCTGGGCTACAAAGTGAGCTCATGGCCAGCCTGAACTGCATAGTGAGACCCTGTCTCAAAAAGACAAACAACCAATGTAGCCAAGATTCCAATTTAGTAAAATGAAACTTTTTGTTGCCCTATCAAGAATAGTTACGCAGGGGGCTGGGGGTTTAGCCCAGCGGCATAAGTGCCTGCCTTGCAAGCAGGCAGTCGTGAGTTTGATCCCTGGTACTGATAAAAACGAAAAAGACCAAAAAAAAAAAAGAATAGTTAAGCAAAACTGTTTCTTGTTTTTTGCTGTTTTTTTTAACCTTGGTGCCATTTTCCCGGTTTTGTGCTAAAGCATTAGCACCGCTGCTACTGCACTGTCACTGAAAACATCTGTATCTTAGTCTACCACAAAATCAATTTTATCCTCACAGACTCCCTACAGTTTGAAGACAAGTGAGAACCACTACACTGACCAAACTCAAGAGCTCAGAGCTGAGGATTTAGTTCAGCGGCATAAGCACTGCCTTGAAAGCAGAGTACTGATAAAAAAAAAACCAGACAAAACAAAAAGATATCCTCCTTTGTACAAGGTCCTCTGTCTATGACCTTGAGCTGTTCCCATCATCTGAGTCTAGGAAACTCCCACTAGTCTTTCTAAGCCTGGCTTATCATTATTTTTCTGCAACTCTCCCTAACACCTACCTCCAGTAAGCACTATACCCATCTTCAGTATCTGCTTCAATACCTACCATCTATACCATCATCACCTCTTACATATTCACAGTGTACCATGCACACAAGACCATTTCGCATTCCAAGTCAAGCCCCATACTGAAAGCTCCTAAAGGGAATAACCACATTTCATCTTACCTAGAATTTAGAAAAATACCTTGAGTTCCTTTTTTCTAAGAAAATACAGAAGAAAAAGTTTTAGGTGGGGTATAGTGGTAGACACCTATAATCCCAGCACTCCAGAAGCTGAAGCAGGATTGCTGCAAATTCAATCCAGCGTGGGTTACAAAGTGAATTTAAAGCTAGTCTAGCTGAAACCCTATCTCAAAAAAATGATAAAAACACCCAGGTGTGGGGGCTCATGCCTGTAAGCCCAGCACTCAGGAGGTTGAGGCAGGAGGATCACTGTGAGTTTTGAGGCCAGCCTGGGCTACAAAGTGAGCTCAAGGATAGTCTGAACTGCATAGTAAAGTCTTGTCTCAAAAAGACCAAAAAAAGACAAAAAGACAAAAAGATGGTGATTTAGCTTAGCCACAAAAGTGCCTGTCTGGCAAGTGTAAGGTCATTAGTTTGCTCCCAGTATGGGAGGAGGAGCAGGGAACACAACAAACAACAAAAGCCGGAAAACAGAATCCTACAAAGCCTCCACTACTGGAGACTGACTGCAGATTAGCAACTTACTAAACTGACTTTCTCAACTATAATGAACAAATAAATTCTTACCACTAAAACTCACTGTTAGGAAAATGTTTCCACTTTGAGATTATGCATTCACTCACTGAAAGTGTGTCTCTGTACGTGTATTTTGTTTGTTTGTTTGTTGAGAACTGTGTTGCCCAGGCTGATCTGAAATTCGAGATCCTTCAGCCTCAAATTTCCCAAGAGTTTGGAATTACAGGTGTGCACCATGAAATCCCAGCATGCCTGTGATTCCAGCACTCAGGAGCCTGAGGCTGGAGGATCACAAGTTAGTGGTCAACCTGGGCAATACAGTTAAATTCAAGGCTGGGCTGGACTACCTGGAGAAATCCAGTCTCAAAAAACCAAAAAGAAGCTGGGCGTAGTGGCATATGCCTGTAATCCCAGCACTCAGGAGGCTGAGATAGGTCAATCATAGTGATTTCAAGGCCAGTAAAACTCAATGCTTAAAAAAAATTAAATTATATTTACATATAGGTATTTCTCTCTCCCCCCTACATATATATATGTTTTTCTTTCAAGTAGCCAGTATTAAAACCTCTCTGGTCTGGTCAATTGTGTATTCAGGCTGAAAAAGTTTTTCAACCTTTTAAAAGTATAATTTACAAAAATGAGAGACACACTTTTGGCGCTTGTGCTAGGTTGAGTTTTCTCAAACACAAAACTCTAAGCTCTACTGCCATGCTCTTGTGGACTTGTCAGAAATTAAGCCACATCTAGTTCTCTAACCAACAGCAAATAAGCAGAACCACAGAAAACGATCCAAGAAGGCTTTTCACTACAGTTCATCCTAATAAAACAATAACGCAAAAAACAGTGACTGTAAAATAGAACGGAATCAAACAAGACAAAATTACCGGTCATTCCAATCATCCCCTCGCCGCCTTTCATCTCTTTCCCGAGAACGATCATAGTCGCTGCGCTCTCTTCTAAACTTGTCCCTGCGCCTTCGATCGTACTCGTCATCGCTGTCACCCATGGCGCTGTCCGATGGAGCCTGGGACCCAGGGAGGGTTGGGCAGGGTGTTGGACAAGAACAAGGTAAACGACGTTCCCGCAGATAGCACGCCCGCCTCCCTCGCCGCAAGGTCTGCCTTTCGAGGCCCCAGCCATCTCAGACAGAAGCTCCGACACTTTCATTTGTCCATGGGCCCCTTGCTAAACCCGTGACCCCGGGGCAAGTCCTAGCCCTTAAGCCTCGCTGCCTCCCTCAGCCCTCCCCCTCCCCCACCTGGAAGCGGCCTCAGCCGTTGGCCGCGAGCAAGGGCGGGCTTGTTTTCCGGGCGACCCGGACGCGCGAGAGAGATACACGAGGTTCTCGGACAAGACACCAAAGAGAGGGGAAGAGAATGGGACAACCGAGAACGGAGGGCACCGGCGCGCGCAACCCTCACGCGCGCCGGTACCGCTCCCCCAGCAGGGACCCTAACCACAAAAGTAGCCCAGCACGTCGCGAGCTAGAAATAGAGCAAAGAAAGCAGGGAGGGACAAACAAGGGAATGATGGGAGGAGCGGGGACACAACTCTCGCGCGCTTTTCGGAACGAGAACTGCGAGGGAGAGGAGCTACGGAAGCCCAACTGAACCAAGCCGAGCGTCTGGAGGTTGGTGGCGCTTTCGGAATGCCAAGGGAATGCGTTCTCTGGCTCTCATCAAGGTTTCCGCACCTCCAGATGTTTCATGGGTCTAATCCAGTTCGCGTCCAGCAGTGGTCTTCCACGGACCAGTGCTCGGCGCGCCGCCTGACCTCTCAGAGGTTGTTTCGCCTCTTCCGCGCGCAGGAGATGGGCTTGGGAAGGACGAGCGTTTGGGGAATAGAGCAACCATTTTAAAATGCCTGCTCCCACCATTTTCTGCTCCCACCAGTCTTTATTGATGTCTCATTATGCGTTATCTACACAAACATTTGTTCCTCCTCTTTTTGGATAGAGGCGTCCTATTTTCACATAAAACGGGCAGATCTGTCTTAAACCGAATACTTTGGTGGCATTAGCTGTAGGTGGGTTATAATCCTGAGCAGCAAGTGAAATGGCCTGACCCAGATTAAATACACCACCACTCCTGGGGATTAACACCAAGTCTCATGGCAAAGAATTAATGTAGGGAGCCCAGCATGGTGGCACACGTCTTTAATCCCAGCAATCAGGAGGCTGAGGCAGGAGGATCCTTGGAAGCTCGAGACTAGCCTGGGCTACAAAGTGAGTTAAAGACCAGTTTGAACTGCGTAGCAAGCCCCTGGCTAAAAAAAAAAAAAAACTGTAAGGCTTGATGGGGAAGGCTGCTTCCTTAGAGCATAATGCAGCCTTTTCTCAGCACTGATAATGGGTGTCTGCCCCAAACTATGTAAACTGGGTATGGTGGTGCACCCTTGTAATCCCAGAACCCTGGGAATCTAAAGCAGAATTGTTGCAAGTTGGAGACCAGCCTGGGCTAAGCTCAAGGCCAGCCTACACTGGATAGTGAGACCCTGTCTTATTAAACTGAAGTGTAGCTCAGCAGTAAAGCTTGTGCTTGCCTGGTATGCATGAGGCCCTCTCTGTTCAATCCCCAGCGTGTGCACCTGCGCACATACACACACACACACACACAAACACAACAGAGCCAAGAAGACTTGGGTTCCGATCTTTCCAACATTTGACAACCATGCAATTTGGGAAATCACATCTCAGCTCTGGCATTCCTTTGTGTAAAATAATCAGGGACAGCAGTCATGCTTGTCTTGGACTGCTGTGAGGCTGGGTGAGACAACAGACTTGAAAGTATTTTTTGTAGACTCTTGGAGGGATTATTATTTCATGATTGGAGACAGAAAAAACAGCATTTGATGACAAAGTTGTACAAAGTTGTGGCAGATGTCAGAGAAGGTGATGCATGCGGACTGAGATCACAGCAGGTGTGTCTTTAAGAAGACTCAGCAGTCAGTGGTGACAGTGGCTGAGAGCTCCTGGATGCGCCAGGCACTGCAGGCCTTGCACAAGATATGTCCATCCAGTGGGTAGCAGCCCTGACATTCCCCCTCCGAGGACAGCAGCAGCCCACATTCCTGTTGGCAGGAAGAACAGCTTTCCATCAACTCAGGTTCCCAGGTCTCTTTCCCTTGAAGCCCTTACCCAGCACCCCCCGGCCCTGGAACCCCTTGCTCTTTCCCAGGCCCTCTCACCTCACACTTGTAACAGCCAATATGAAAACTGCGATCCAGAGCAACAATTCTCACAGTCTCCTCCTGACCTGGCTCAGGCATGATGGCCCCACCACATACAGAGCATCGTGGGGCAAACTTCCTGGGGCAGAAGAGAACCAGGGAGGCTGTCAGGACCCAGGCCTGCAGCCCAGAGAGGTGGCATGCAGGAGACCACCACGGAAGGAACCAAGATATGCTCTTGGGTCTTGGGGAAAACAGTGGTATTACAAAGAAAAGAGAAGGCCTAGGACTTAAACACAGGAAGGGTCAGAGAGAGAGATCAGATATCCTGAAGCAGCTAGGCCCCAGGCCTGACCTGTGGAAGTCCTCAATGCAGTGGATCTGGCTGGTGGCATCCACAGTGAAGGGGATGCCATCCAGGCCGCGGTGGCACACCACACAGGTGAAGCAGCTAGGGTGATAGGCCTTCCCCATAGCCCGCAGGATCCGGTCCAGGATGGGTTGGGAGCAGGTGGAGCATTTCTCCAGGGTGGCCTGTTGGAAATGAGGGTGAGACCGTCAGGGGGAGGCTACAGCAGCAGGAAGCCACCTGCCACCCCAGCCATGCACATATGTAGCCTCTACAGATGGTTCAGTGGAAAGCAGATTTGAGCAGATCTGAGGCTCAGGCTGCAGCTTCCTAGACAAGAAATTTAACCTTTCCGAGCTTCCGCATCCTATAAAATGAATCAATAGTCAGCTCTGCCTCACAGGGTTTTTGTGGAAATTTCATACATTCCCTTAATTCTTAAAAAGCCTTCCACATAAGACTTGTCCTTCCCCTGAACAGCCAATACTCAGCCACTTCAGTCCTCCCTCTTGTGCATATCAGTTTGATTCTCCAGCTTCAAACCCCATCCCTTTTTTGGGCTTCAATAGCAGGTCCCACTGGTGACTCCAGACCCTCAGTCTCAGCTACTCACCACATAGCAGCTCTCACAATATGCCCTCCTCTCCACAGCGTAGAAGTGCTGGCCCCGGAGCTGGGCCTGGCATGTGGAACACACGAAGCAGCCAACGTGGAAGACACGGTCTAGGGCCACAACCCCAGCCCCATCCCCGACCACATCTTCTCCACAGCTGCCACATCGGCCTGGACACAGGGGTGGATGGGATCAATCTACGCAGACCCAGGACACCAGGGCTGCTGTCCCTCCCTATTCCCATCCCACCCTCACAGTCAGCTCACCGAAGTACTCCCCGCTGGGTGGGTGGTTCATGTCGTGCACCAGCTTCTTAGTTAGTCTCTCTAGTTCTTCCTCCGGAGGCTGGCTCAAGGGAACCTGCAGGTGGGAATTGTGGGAATGGTGTGTTACTTCTATTTAGCTCTATGCTGCAACAGTCCTTAAAAGCACCAGGCAATTCCACCCAGAAAGCTCATCTGAGAACATCTCTGTCCAAGAGCCAGTGGGCAGCTCTAGCCACATCCCCAGCCTAACCTTTGACTCTGACTCTGCCCCACACCACGAGCTTAAATACTCCCTCCAGCACTACTCCCACCTTATCAGTGCCCACTTGTCTGAAGACCCCAAGCCCCAAAGTCCCACGCTTACCTGGGATCCATGCCGGCCTCCTCTTCCTCCTCCAGGGCCAGGGACCCCTGCAGTCTCTTCTTTAATCCCTGGTCCTGGCTCACGGGGGCTCCTATAGCTAGCCCCCCAGGCTTCACCTCGGCCTGGGAGAGGAAAGTGGGGGCCTGGGAGAGGCCCTGAGGCCTGAGAAGCCCCCCGCCTAGGTGGCCCACAGCCTCTCACTGGCTGGGCCACCTTTACTTGCACAGGGAAGGCAGGGCCGGCTGGGGTGCTGGCTGTAGCATAGGAAGCTGGAGTTGGGCCTCCATAGGGGGATGCTGGAAGCAGTGGGGGTGGAATGCCCCCTCCTCCGTTGGGCTTCAGGGAACCTGGGCAATAGGCAGGTAGCTGAGGGGGCTCATAAGCCTGAGAAGAGAAGCACAGAGGCAGTGAGCTGGGTCACTGCAGCACCCACATTTGTACAAGTCTATGCCACGTGCACGCCCCAGGGAAGTACTGATTTTGGCAAGGTCCCACCCTCTGCCAAGCTCCTGTTCTCCAAGGCTGGTGTGGACACCGCTCACTCAGAAAGCAAGTGGAGATGGGGTGGCTGTTGGGCCTGAGAACACAGAGTAGGTGAGTGAGAGGCACAGGAAAAGCAGTCACCTGTCGGTCTGGTCGCCGTGGTGCATGACCACGACCCCCGTCCAGCTCAGCCAGCATGCTGGTCAGCGAATCTATCTCTGCGTCCAGACTTGCTGGGCGCAGGCATCCCCGGTCAGGAGTGAGCCCCTGGGGATGGAACAGAAGCAGGAAGCATGCAGACCACAAGGTCTCCTCTCTTCCCTTGATCCCACATACCTTCAACTCTAGGCTGCCCCATATCCCATACCCAACCAACCCAGTTTTCACTTCTCACCTGGGAACGTTGGGGTGGTCCATGGGACCCCACCCAGGCCGGCCCCCTATCCTCTGGTCCCCCAGGGGGCTGGTAACACTGCTCAGATGGGAGGGGGCAAAAACTGGCTCTGGGATGAGGCTGGAGGGCTGAGATGAGAATGGAGACCAAAGGTGGAGATGAAGAAGGGGCACTCCCGAGGGCCGCCCTCTCTGCTGCTCCCCTCCTCCCATGCACCAGGGATACAGGGCGCCGGGTGGGGGGCACTCATGTGATGACCCCAGTCAGCTTGGGGAGGGGCAGCAGAAAGCAAGCCGGCGGGGCAGGAGGCAGAGGACAGGCGTGAGTGCCGGGGCGCTGGTTCCCTGGCCAATGGGACGGGGCCACCTTACCTGCTCCGTGGGCTGGTGCTGGCCCTGGGGCACCTCGGGGGAGCGCTCTCCCCTGAGGGGCTCTGGTGGGCTCTGGCTGCTTCGGGGGAAGCCAGGTGGGCCCCGACATGGCCTGGAATGGGGGCAACTCCAGACAGCAGTCAGGGCCCCACAAAGTCCTGGGCCTGTGTCTTTGATCCCCCTCCCCCTTTCCGCTCCAGACCTCGTTTGGGACTCCAGGAAAGAAACTTTCTAGCTTTTTTCCCCTTCCTCCCCAATTTTGGGGACAGCCACGCCCCCGGTGACATCATCGCATTCCTGGGGGAGGGTCACGTGGCCCCCTAGGCCTTAATCTGCCTTCCCTCCTAGAGTCTGCCCCCTCCTATAGGGAAGGGAGAGTTCTCCCGGGGAGCCCAGTTTCAAGGGGATGAGGGCTCCAGGGGTGGAAGGCACAGGCCCCGTCAGCCCCAGGCCGCGGCGCCCCAACTCTGCACGTGGCAGACTCCCTATAAGACGCTCTGTCCCCACCCCTCCCCACCCTTTGCAGGCCTCTCCCTGCCATCCCCCTCCCTCTCACCTACACGCCAGCAGTATTCAAGCCAGACTGTAGTGTTTTGGTCTTTTATTCCTGGTCAGCAGAGTTAGAAAAATAAAACAAAACAAAACCATCATCCCCCCCGGGGGAGGAGCCGGTGCATCTGTGGCAAAGATGGGGACACTGAGGTAGCCTGGAGTCGTAGAGGAGACCAGCCCCTCCCCATCAAGGCACCAGTGAAGCTAGGGGCCAGTAGGGGGAAGGGCTTCCAACACTGTCCTCTGAGGGCAAGGGACAGAGCCCAGATGAATATCCTAGGCCCCTCTCCCAAAGGGCACAAGACCATGCCCCCATCTAGGATCCCCTTACAAAGTCCTCCCAGCTCTGCATTGCAAGGGCAGGGCCAGTGGGAGCGGATGGCCCACTAATCAGGATGAGCTTGGGCCCTGTCTACCCATCCATGGAGGAATGAACCTCAGAGGTCAGTGCAGGTGACAGGGGTGACACCATGAATAAGCAGTGTGGGGCCCAGGTCCTGGCTCAGAGTCTCCAGTAGCGCCAGGTAGCGGGGGTAGCGGGCAGGGTCAGCAGGTGGCCGGGGCAGGTAGAGGAAGGTAAGAGCCGTGATGGGCCCCTCATCACCATCCCTACCCTTGGGCCCCCCAGGTCCTCCCCCGGTGCCTCGGCCCTGCTGTGCCCGCACTAGGGTGTTGGCACTGCAAGCCAGGGCCTCTGCCTCAGCATCGCCCCGCCCTCCATTCACAAAGTCCCCTTCTTCCTCCTCCTCCTGCTCTCCAGCCCCAGCGCCTTCACCCCACACCACCTCGTGCACCTCAGCCCGAATCCTCAGTTGGCTCAACAGTGCACGAAGCCGCCCCTCAGCAGCCCCTGGTGCCTCTCGAGGCCCCAAGCACAGGAAGATCCGTAGCCGGGCACTGTGCCAAGCAGGCACCATGCCTAAGATGGTTGCCATCTGCAGAAGGAAAAGGCCACAGACGTCCACATAGCCGGGCCCACCCCGGGGCCGCAGCAGGTTGAGGGGCCACACGTCCACATGATGCAGCTGAGAGGCACTTCCAGACCCCCGGTTGAGCCGCTCAGGAGGCAGAGCCCCGCAGGCTCGGGCCAGAACCACATTCTTGTTCATCTTGAGGGCATCTGCCACAGTGGCCACGTAGTCCTGAGGACTGAGTGCCCGAGGGCTCCCAGGAGCTCTGGGTGGGGGAAATAAGGTGCTCAGAGCTGGGGACCCGCCCTCCTGGGTGCCATCCGCAGGCTCCATGAAAGCTGGGTCTGTCAGGAAATGGTCTTGCGGTGGGGCATCATCGTAGAAACCCAAGACCAACGTATTTGGCTTCATACCGCCTGGGGGCAGAGACAGGAATCAGGCTGCGTTTATACCCTGCTGATGCAAGCTGCCAGGAATGACAACCCCACTGCGCTGGGTACAGGACGCTTATAGTATCATCATGTGTTTGTATGACTTTGTTTTCCTAACACTTTCACAGGCATTTTATTTGATTATCTCCATGATGCATCTCTTGTGATGTGTGGAGAGTGAGTTGCTGTCTACTGCAAAATTTAAGTAACACTATTTTGTGTTGTTTTGTTTTTGCTGTACTAGCGATTAAACCCAGGCCTTCTCACTGAGCTACTTTTGCTGCTATTTTTTATTTTTCCCTCACCAAGTCACTAAATTGCCCAGACTGAGTTCAACTTGAGATCCTCCCGCCTCAGCCTCCCAGAGTGCTGAGATTACCACTATACCCATATAGCTCAACTATTCCATGGTGACAAATGTGAGTTTAATTCTGCCAGACAAACCAGTTGATCTGAACATCCAAACTCCCCAGTTCAACCATGAGGGAAACAGCAACCCAGACCCCCCTGGGAGAGGAAAAAAAGTCTGTTTCTACTGCTGCAGGCCCTGAGGATGGTGGTCCTCAGCTGGGACCCTGAGATGAGACAGTGAGTTTGCCACACCCTGTAGACAACACTTTGTATTTTACCGCTTATGAACTACGAAGCAATACTGTGAGATAGATGCTATTTATTTTCCTCTTTTACAGATAAGGAACCTGAGTGAAGTCACTGGCCCAAAGCCTAGAGGCTTTGATAGGTCCTAGCAGAAGAGATAACAGTCCTGCCCAAGCCAGAAGACATGCTTTCAGCCACTAAACTGGGTGTGGACCAATCTCAACATCCCAAATCCCTGACCACAACTTCTGATTTTTAATGTGTTTTTTTTTTTTTTGAGACAGGGTTTCACTATGCAGTTCAGGCAGTTCTTTTTTTTTTTTTTTTTTTGGTATCCGGGATTGAACTCACAACCTTGCACTTGTCAGGCGCTTGTGCCGCTGAGCTAAATCTCCGGACCTCTCAGACAAGTCTTGAGCTCACTTTGTAGGTCAGGCTGGCCTTGAACTCACAGTGATCCTGCTGCCTCTAGCTTCCTAAGTGCTAGGATTACAGGTGTGCACCACTAGCCAAGCTTGGGATTTTTAATTTTTGAACCACCAGTGTGAGCTGTGTGTTGGCATACACATCATCCCAGCACTCTCAGAGGCTGAGGCAGGAGGATTGCAAGTTTAAGTCCAGCCTGGGCAATTTAGCATGAACCTGTTTCAAAAAAGCTAGGCCTTGGGTTCAATCCCCAGTATAAGAAGGGAAAAAAGGAAAAAGCATCAATGTAGAATCATGTAAGTCCTCCCTCCTTTCAATAAGACTGAGTTTACAATGAAACTCAAGAGACCGCTTACAAAAGCTGGTCAAAATCTAAGCATAGTTCAAATCCTACCTGCCCCGGGAATTTACTATGCAGAGAAAAATGCTTTCCCTTTAGCTATAATCACCTTCCATAGGCTAAATTTCCTGAACACAATGGCTTTTGTGCACAAAGGGGTGGAGGTGGGGATGGGAGCCTAGAAAAAAGCAAGTCCTCAGGCTTCAGGGGCTGATCAGACTCATTAATGCTCCCCAACCTACCAGCAAGTCAGAATTCCAGCTGTCTCACAAATTAAACAAGTCCCACCTGCTCCAAACATTTTGCAGGATTCTGATTCACACAGAGCAGAGCAATGTCCAATGCTGTTGAACTTTAGCCAGACTCTAAGTGGAGGAGGGGGTGACCCTTCAGGTGACAGACACTGTCCAGGGAGGAAGGAAAGAGGAGGAGCCTGAGCCTGGACTTGGTGGAGCCTGGGGCACAAGTCGGGAGACTCCAGGGCTGAGTCACAAAGCTTGAAATGTCCCACTCCATCCAAAAGTGTCAACTCCACCAGAGCCAGTGGCACAGGCCTGTAACCCCACCACTCCGGAAAGCTGAGACAGAAAGATCCCACCTTCAAGCCTAAAGTGGGCTTTTTAGTGACTTAGCAAGACCTTTCCTCAAAAATAAAAAAGAATTAAAAGGGTTGAGGATGTAGTTCAGTACAAAGGCCCTGAATTCAATCCCCACTATCACAAAAACAGACAAAAAAAAAAATGTCAGCCCCACACACCCTCCAGCACCCTTTGCGGTGTCAGTGACCATGTTAGGTCCCTCCTATGACACAAGTCCTCACAGGCCTGGCTGAGTTACCAGTTCTCCACAAAACCTTTGCTGGCCACATCAGTGCCTAGCGGTCTTGTTTTCTTCTGAACTGGTGGTGAGAAACCACGCGCTTAATGGGGCAGTCCAAGATGCAAATAATTCCCCCATTGTCCCTAGAGATAGACTCTCAAGGCCAATCCTCCAGTTTTTGGTCAGGGAGGCGGGAGAAACCACAGCACCAGTAGCTCCCTATCCAGTCTTCTGCATCTCTGCAGACCTTATCACATGCTTTTTGAGGCTGTTATCTTTGAGCCCTGTCTTATCCACACTATATTGTCAACTCTTTTTGCAGTCTGCCATCTGCGGCTTATTCCCTAAGGGAAGGGAGTGGAAGTTTAAAGGGTCAAGGAGGGGGCTGAAGGGAGAAGCAGCAGCTCACCAAGGCCTGAGATCCGCAGGAGGTGCTGTGCTCCCTGGCGCACAGAAGGGGACAGTGTGAGGTCCACGAAGGCCTTCACTTGGGCTCGGTCCACCAGGCTCAGCCACGCCCCGTACTGTGGCTGCACAGGGTCCGAGGGCAGCATGTCTGCAGAGAAGGCAAGGAGAGAATGCAGCTGCTGCGGGCCAAGCTCACTTACTGCTTCCCAGAATCCAGATGTCACAGGGGTCTGGGCAGGGGCTGCAGCTGGCTGGCGTGTCCTCTCAGAAGCAGAAGTCATGAGCTGTGTCTTGAGAGAGGGAACCAGGAAGGGTGGGAGCAAATGTGACAGCAACTTACCAAGGTCCCCCAGGGTGACGTGGCCCAGCACATACAGCCCCCCCTTCTTGAGCTGGTTGGCCAGACGCAGAAGAGGCAGGGCACCCCGAGGGTTCCCCACCAGGAGTAGCAGCTGAGGCCGCCAGAACTTCACATGGTCCTTCCGGACATCCAGCCGGAGCAGGTACTTGCGCACCTGGGGACCAGGATGAGGTGGTGGGGTGGGAGGTCTTGCCCAAACTGCCCCACATTCGCCCTTCCCAAAAGCTCCCCCCAACCTGGTGGAACAGCAAGGCCTGGCTGACGTAGCCCCAGCTGCTGGGGCCTCCTCGAGCTGTGAGCAGAGCAGAAAGCAGACCCATGAGGAGCAGGGAGCCCCCGGCGGCCCCGGGGCTGATGAGGAACATCATGAGCAGGCAGGAAGCCACACCCAGCAGGCAGGTGTGCCAGGAGAACAGGCTGAAGGTGGGGCTGGCAGTGAAAAGGAAGCAGGAAGGGAACTCAGGGTTGGCCACTCTCCTGGGCTCCTCTTTCCCTCTCCTTCCTCCTTTGCCCTGGGAATGTGGCCATGTCATGTCTCACCGGAAGTTGGGGGCTGAGGCCCATTCCAGGCTTAGGCAGGACAGATCCACTGCAG